AGAGGGCGTTGGGAGCCGCTTTCCCGGGAGATTTTCCAGCCCCGCCTGGCCGCGGTGCTGTGCCCCCTGCTCTGGGTGACCCTGCTTGGGCAGGGGGTTGGGCTGGGTGACCCACAGAGGTCCCTGCCAACCCTGAACATGCTGGGATTCTGTGATTCTGTGAAGACAAATCATGTATTTCTGTAAGCGGTGAGAATTAACGCTAATGCTGTTGTCTTCACCTTCACACCTGCAGCTCCCCAAAAGCCCCAAAATCTCCCAAAGGCATTCCCAAAAATGCCTATTTTCTGGCCAGAGAAGTTCTCATGTTGGAAACAGTGAACGATTGTTCAAGCAGAAGCAGGGCAAAAGCCGTGACCCCACGTTTTTCCCGGTTTGGTTTAAGAACAAATGCCTTGAGGAGCTAAAACAAGAGGGGAAAAGAAGGATGCAGCTTTCCCAAGGTGATCCTGCCAACGTCTGTTTGTCTTCCAGCCGCGGCGTTTCAGCGCAGAAGCAAATTGCTAGCGGGGCGACCTTTTCAATGTGCGCTTTTGATCCTTGCGATAGAGGAACAGAGCGGTCTGAAGAAAATCAGCCCACGACTTTGTAGGATAATTACAGCGCAGCGGGCAAGAGCTGAAGGCAGCGAGCGAGCCGGCTCCGGGAAGTCCTTGGGAATGTTGTCTGCTGGCGAAGTGCCGGAATCCGAGGTCGGGCGGTGGAAATCTTGTTGCTGTAACGTGGCCAACGCAGGCAGCTGAGGTGACCCTGGAGCATGCAGAGACCCGGGGGATTTTGCTTGTCTTTGCTTCCCTCCCAGGAGCCCAGGACAAATCCCTTTGCTTCATGAAGGCCAGGTCAAAAGAAGCCGCTTGCTTTCTCGCTTGCAGACACCCTCGAGAGCTCGCTGAGCTGAGGGTCAGGCACCCCGCCTGCTGCAATGGCAGGGCTGGTTGCTCCACACGGTCCTCGGGGAAAGGACAAGGATGGGACAAGGGGCAGATGTAGCCAAGGTGCTGTGGAGGACGCAGCCCAAGAAGCCAGTAGCACACGTCCCGTAGGCCTGTCAGAGTGATGAAGGGGAGCCAGGGAGCATGGAGAGCTGGCATTTTGGGAGACGAGGTGGATTCTCAGTCTCCCTTTCTGCCTGCGCGCTGCCTGTGCCTGCCAGGATCCCACCGCATCAGGGGACAATATCTGAGCACCGGCTGGAAGAGCCACTTCCACGCACTGAGGCCAAACCCAACATTTCCCAGTTGAATCCCAGTTCAAGAAAGATGAGGAGCTACTGGAGAGAGTCCAGCGGAGGGCTACAAGGATGGGGGAGGGACTG